AAAATAAAGAACAATCAAAATATACTATGAAAACGGATAAACAAGGATATCTATAAAAGCATTCACCATGTAAACTTGTATTACTGAGTTATTCTCCACAAAAAAAAAAAATTAATTCCATGAAACACTAAGTTATATTATAAAACTATATTATAAAACCAAATATAAATTAGGAATTCAAGAATAAGATATAAATATATACAACAAATAAGATATAAATCGAGCATATTCTTAGATTTTCTAGATAGTTATATAAGTTAAGCAATTATCTCCATTGATATTAGATATTTTGGATAAATTAAAAAATAAAATCATAAAAGCTTCATACCATTTTAAGACATCGAGAGTAATAGCATCCCTAATTTATTACCTATAAAAGTAATTTAATGTACCAAAAAATAATACTAATAATTTAGCGCCCATCTTAAACACAAACAAATTTCAAACAATTAAAGATAAAATAAATCAATTATTTATAAAATTTAAAATTTAAGTTCTATTAAATTTAAGATAAAATATAATTAGAAAAAAATTAACATCTATGAGATTAATGAGGAAGTATACCTGACCAGGACAGTCTTTGAGATGTGGACAATAATTTTGATCAATTATGATTGGGTTTTTCACGTTATCCATAGTAATGTGTTGAAAATGAACGTTTGTAGCGAATCCATTGCTTGGTCTTCCCCAAGACTTAATCCTTACTCCATTCTGGGTCCCCGTGAATGTAGATGATTTCACGGTAACGTTATGCACTCCATCCTCCTCAGCCCCTATCCCTAAGCTCCCAATGCTACAAACACATTCAACAAAATACCAAATGTTTCCTGAGGTTTAATTTCCTCACTCTAACCTAATATATTATATATATATTTTTATCCAAAATAATTGTAAAATAATTTAAATATTTTTTCTCACGTTCAAAATAACTTTAGAATATATTTTAATTATTCAAATTTAATTTAACGTTTAGATTATCTTTTAAAAATTAATGTGACAAATTTATTTAAACCCTTTAAAAAACATTTCTAAACATGTTCATCCTAATCTATCTCTAGTTACCTGATTCCATGTCCAGGCCCACATGTAATAGTTTCGATCCACATGTTGGATGTCCCTGGACCGATGGAGATGCAGTCGTCACCATTTCCAATGTTCGAGTTGAGGATGGTCACATCTGATGATTGTTGCACGTGGATGCCATCAGTGTTTGGACTATCGCCTGCAGCCAAGACATTCACTCTTGTCATATGCACGTTTTGGCATCGATTCATTCCAATGCCGAACAATTGGCTGTTAATTGAAGATAATCCATTGATGTTCACATTCTTTCCATCATTTATTTGAAGACTCTATCCATTCAAAACAATCAAAAGCCAGAATTAGTAAAAATTTAAAATAATATTGTAATTAATCCAGTCATTCTCTTTCCACTTTGAGTTAAAAGAAAATTCTTCTAAAAGAAAATTTTTCAAATTTTTTTATATGGAGCCAACTCAAATTCTCCATACCCGGGCTCCAATGGGGCAACTCTTCCCTGAGTGTTTACAATTCCATAAGGGAGTTCCTTGCCCATCAATAATACCGCCAGTAATGGAAAGCCCATTTATGTGATTAAACAAAATCCAAGAACTAGAATTAGCTAAAACGTGAATGTCCGAGGAAGCCACAAGAGTTCCATCAATGAGAACAGTAATAGCATTGTTCTTACAAGGCCCATTAAATCTCACACTTCGAACGAAGAATATACCCTCGGGAACATAAATAGTGGCTGGTTCAGATGAGTCACAGGCCTTAGCCCATGCCGTTTGAAGGACAGGCGAGGCATCGGTCTTTTCATCAGGCTTAGCTCCGAGAGTAATAATATTGAATGTTAATTCAGCAGCTGAGGCATGGTTAAAATACCAAAGTAGCAGGGAAAGAAAAATATGTAAGATTACAAGAAGAGACAAAGAAAACTTAATGATACAATTGTTCATGATAAGCATGAGAGAGAGAAAAAGGAAGCAAGTGATAGGATAATAAAAGAGGTGTGGAGTGATATTTATAGGTTAATGCTTACCCTTCTAACTCTAATTTTAACTTATCTATCTCAAGTACTATTTTATTCTTGTTGTATTTAACCATTATTGTTTTTATATGGTTTACCATTTTTAATTAGGTATGTCATGTAGGTAAATATAATGGAATCGAATGATCATTTAACCCTGTCTCGTGCTAACATTTTTAAATTTAAATCTATCTTATAAGATAATACACTAGTTATCATTTTAACGATCTCTCATTTTTAAAATTATTAAATTAAAAAAGGTTTCTTTGTCAATATGATTTTATTTTTGTTTTAACTTAAAAAGGGATGGGAAGATTTTAACAAAAAAAAAAATCCTAATTTTTCCATCTGTTTCATTGGCCTCTCAACCTCCTACTATAAGAATAACAATTTCCTAATACTTTTAGGGGTTTATATTTTTAGATATGGATTCTATATTGATTCTCTATTATAATAAAAATAATAAAACATTCTGTAAGATAGGATCGACAAAACACTATTATATATTTTTCAGTCATTTTTATCACGTTGATGTTAGTGATGTAACAGAAAGTTGGTGATTTTTTATTTGCAAAGATGTCACAAATAATGAGAGGTAGAATTGTTTGTCATATTTGTAACTATCCAATAAATTTACAAATACATCACACCCAGAAATAATTTACAAATGTTATATTTTTCGAAGTCTTAAAGTCTATCAATGATAGAGTATATCAATAATATGCGGTTTTTATACCTATCAACAAATTTTTTTAATCATATATAGATTTTTTTTTATCGTCACTTAGGGATTTGTATCACTATGTTACATCTCTTTTCTCCTTTGATTAAATTAAACCCAATTATCACTATGATAGGTTCTTTCCTTTTATTTTTGTAAACTTGACTGGATCTATTTGAAATTAATGAACTAAAGTCTAATTGGTGTAGTGAACTAAAGTCTAATTGGTGTAGAGACAACAAATCTAGGAGGGATGGAGGGAGAGAGAGATCCATGAAAAGGTAAAATAAGTGAGGGATGAGAGAGAGAGATATCTTATGAATAAAAGGATTGGGCGCCTTAAGCAAGTATTACGGCTTACGTATAACCCAGATATTAAGAATTGAAAACTTGTCACATCCCCTTATAGTACATTTTGAGGCATTTTGATCCTCGTAGGTATAAACACGATTTTGGTGAACGGTCATACAACTTCGAATTGACATAATAGAAATGATAAAGACCTAACTCCGTGAAAACAAGTAAAAGGGGTTTGAAACGAGCATGAGATCACAGACAACACACCTTGGACAAACATGACAGTGACATCCAGAAATGCGACTACAGGTAACAAACATTTGACAAGCATGCTTGTGATATTCTCCTCCACTCAATTGGTTGACGTATTTATCAACTAACTCTTCACGAACTAAGCAATGTAGAATGAGACTGACTTTAGCTCTTTCGAAGTGTTTCCAACCCATCTCAGCATTGTGATATCTCTTCCATCTACCAAGAACTTTTATAAGTCTTTTCTTGATCTATTGATGTGTCGTATCTTTCAACCAAACTCTCTTCTACTTCCTTCGTAATGAGATTCTTCATCATGGCAGGAGGTCGTGTTGCTGCATTGTTATTGGTGTCTTCTTTATTAGGATACGTTTTAAGTTTATGACGTGGATAACATAACTAGTCCTCATCCATGGGAGCAATCGGTTCCTATATGATGCCTTCCAAACCTTCTACGTGACTTTAACTGGTCTATAGTATTTTCGCATCAACTACTGATTCTTATTGTTCTGGAATCGAAGTTGATCGAATCTCAGCTTGATTAGAACTTTGTCTTCACTTTCAAACTTTTTGCAGCTTGTGTTTCCGACCGGTTATTCTAGTCATTCGTTTGGATGTTTCTTTTTTCTGATTTGACACTAGTTCCTTTGGAGATTTGTCTCCACCTTTTGGTGGAGGTATTCGCTTGGACCTCTCTCCAGCATTCGAGTTATCACTAACAAATTCGAAATTCAACAAGTCATTTAACTATTTATGAAATTCAGCTAGCTCCGGTTGAGGCATTCGACACATATTTGTAATAGACGATCTCAAACCTAATACTAAATCAATTTTAGATCTATCACTCTAGGTGGGGAAGTCGTATGTTGTGATGTTTTCCTTTAGTGACTGCGAGGTTTCTATTTGAATTTGCTCACTCGAGCCCTCCTCTTCAATAATGGGAATGATGATGAACGTGGGTTCATCATGGGTAAGATTGAGTATCAATTATAGCGTCGATATCATCTTCACCCTTTTGGTTATCGGGTATCGATCTGAATGATCGTGTGATTTGACCTCATAACCACTAAGAATTTTGTTTGGGGCATGGAAATGACCTCGCCTTTAAGAAAAAAAAAATCTATCCCTAACACGGCATTGAAATCATTCATCTTGATTATCATAAAATCGGTTTGCTCAATCCAAGTCTCCAACTTGATCAAAGTTCTCTTTGTAATTTTTGAGATAGATAAGGCTACAAAATTACAAAATTGATAGTTTCATCGTTCCATTGTCTTGATGCTAGAGAGTGTTCAAGCGTTTCTCTTTGGACTCTATTATGAAGTTGTGGATGACTCTAGAATTGATCATTCTACTCTTGGCCGATCTATGGTTAACCAAGACTTCATTCTATTGGCTCTTTTGTCTCTCCCACTCTCTTTCGGAAAGAAAATAGTACTTCAACGTCTCCAATGCAAGGGATTTGACGCTTTGACTTGGAAGGCATGGAGAGCCACCCTTTGTGGGTATTCAGATTCTCGATAGGCCACCTTGCATATGAAGCAAACAAGGGCCCTTATGTGTAGCTTTTTTGGTCATGAAGTCTGTCATGAATATCTACCTCTCTTTTGGGAGGATTCATAGTCTCATCCTCGAGCTTCTAAGTCTACCACCTCTCCTTATTAGGGTTTATGTCCTAAAGTCTTGTAATTAATTATTTAACAATTATTTTATTTATAATTTAATATTATCCATTGTATGAAAAATCCAAGGTGTCCCAACTCGAATTATATTTTGTAGCTAATGGATACATTATTTCAAAAATGTCCAACAATATCAATTAGACACTCTCTTGTAAAGACGGTTTCGTTTTTCTCTCTAACCGAGGTGGGATCTCACAATGCACCCCCTTCAGAGTCCAGAGTCCTCGTTGGCAATCATTTCGTTCCCCTCTCCAACTAATGTGGGATCTTACAATCCACTCTCTTCACGGCTCAATGTTCTCGCTGGCACTCATTCCTCTCTCCAATCGATGTGAGATCTCTCACAGTACTCTCCCCTTTCGGGCCCAGCGTCCTCGCTGACATACCACTTGGTTTCTGGCTCTAATACCATTTGTAACAATTCAAGCCCACCACTAGCAGACATTGTCCTTTTTGGGCTTTCACTTTCGAGCTTCTCTCCAAGGTTTTTATAACACGTCTGTTGAGTATAGATTTTCACACCCTTATAGAAAATACTTCGTTTATCTCTCCAACCGATGTGGCATCTCACAATCCACCTTTCTTTAGGGTCCAGCATCCTCACTGACAGTCATTTCTATCAACAATAGATATGAAATCTCTCACACGAAACTTCCAACCTTATATAAATTCATGTCCTCTTAGCTCTAGGTCGGCCTTTGATTAAATGTCGTAGTTTCTCTCTTACATTTATTAACGTACAATTATATTTATTGTGGAACCTCCTTCAAAGCTATAAATGAGTTTGATAGCATCCAAGAGAAGAGGAGAACTTTGATTGTGTGGATCATACCAAAAGTAGCCCTTCTTGCTTTCACCTTCAAACATGACTTTTATTTTATTTTTGTTTGTCATATTTTCATTTCCTAACATATTTAGAGTCATTCGATAACATTCATATTTTTTAGTGTTTTTTGTTTTCGATTTTTAATTTTAATTTTTTCTAAACAAAAGTTTTTGGTAAATGTCCATGTTTCTTTTTTTTATTATTATTTTTTTTATCATCTTAGAAAAATGTAAAATCTGAACTAAGACGACCAAGTAAAATGTAATTTTAAACTTGTTTTACTAATGGTTTGAATCTATTCCTCAACGTTGTGGATTTTGAATAATTTGATGAAAGTTTAGTAACACAAAAATCTTTAATGCAGGCACGTAATGTTTTGTCTCTAATAGAAAAAGGAACACGCCTTTTTATTACAAGATTTCTTGGTCAATACATATCCACCGGATCGTTAACGTGAGCCAACACGATACAATATTTATGTGTTTGTTTTAATGAGAATTTATATTGCTTATAATAAATTTAATGACAGTAATATGAAGATGGGGGAGAAATATTTACCTTTGAGGGAACTGTAAGCAACAGCTTCTAACGTAAGGTTGTTTTAAAAGTTCACATCCCTCGTTTTATTGGAAGGCAATTTAATTATTTATTTAATTATTATTATTTTTTTAAAAAGTTGTTGAAAAAAAAAAGATAAAATATAATTTATTTTTACGATTACGAGAGAAGCTAGACTTGGGGCTTGCAGGTGCATATATCAATGGAGAATTTTCATTAATGGATAAAGAAGAGGGTCTTCTTAACCTTATTTTGGTGAGCTTAATTACTTCATTTCTTCCTAATCCTAATTAAGGTTCTTAATCATCGCCCTCGTTCATGCGCACCTTCTCTTTTGCACCTTCTCATTGCTAATAAGGATACAAATTCTTCTAATACAACACCAAACAAGACAATAAGGTAAATATGAATTATAAGACATTTTAATTACGAGTTTCATTTTTGAAGGAACTTAATTGTAACACTCCACCACTAACAAATATTATCAATTTTAGCGTGTTACGTATCGTCTTGTTACATATCGTCGTTAGACTCACAGTTTTAAAATTTATTTGTTACGGAGAGGTTTTCACTCCTTTATTAAAAAAAAAATG